CAGTACCTTTCACCTAAACCAAATGGCCTGGGGTCCAAAAGGCCCCAAATGTCCTGAATAGGGTTAAATCCTCCTGGATAATCAGTCTCATTACTCATACTTTTTTGGAAGCGGGGCTATAAATACATACTTATAATAAAAGAATTTCGATAAAATTTTATTGTGATCAGGCGGCATTATCTGTGTTCTCCTTGCTCACTCACAAAAAAAAAGAAGCGAGATGGGCCACAAAGCAATGTATCACTTGGTTCAGAACTTAAAGTCCTTAAGCAAATGAAATATTTAGAACAAGAAAATGATTTGCAGGTTCCAGGGGGCCCATGTTTCAGTCATGTTGAATATATCTACATGTAGTGTTCTTATTTGAGTTAGTTCTGTGGCAATACAAGAAAGTCAAGTATTTTAAAGGACATTATTCAGTTCCAAGTGCATGGATTGAATTTTGAATTCCCGTCATGTCTGAATGATTCAAACAGCCGACACTTTGCTGCTCAATTGCAAACAAAATGTCAGGGGGTCTATGGGTGCAATTTGTAAAAGCAGCATTCCAGCGTGTGTGCTTGAGTGGGTGGGTCAATGATCCGTTACACCGTGCCATATTACAGAAAGACTCTCTTTCTGTCTCGTCCTCTTTCATAATATAATGCAGCAGCTTGAGGACATGCGCACATTAAAGATGTTAACGTACAAATTGAGGGATCAACATCCTCTTAAGCGCACTATCAGAGAAACACAGACTTCAAATTACAAAACTCATATATGGGGAGGACGCGTGCGGCTTAGGGGAAAATTTCTCAACACGAACCCAATCATTTCTATCAGCATTTCAATCAGCGCACCACAACTGAGTTATTTTTGTTTCATTTTGACCGAGTGAGATGTGCTCTTTTCTACTCCCCTGTCATGACTGGCTGGAACCACTATTGGTGACTTTAATGGCGGCTCCATAAGCATGTGGTCGTTTGAATGTGCACAAGAAAGCAAAGGATAGTAGAAGAGAGAAGAGCGCAGGAACACAATGGATCTAGCGTTCCTTTCAGTCGGCTCAGGGCCTTATCTCCTTTCAACACACTAGCCTGTGACTGCCACTATAGGAAAGGATTTACAATGTGAGTGGAGGAAATGCTGCAAACTTCTCTCTTTTACTCTGACACACACACACACTCACACACACACACACACACACACACACACAGAAATAATCATTTCCATAGCAGCACAATGACCAAACCTACCTCCTGTATCTCACTGAGTGCTCAACCATCCACGAGATGCTGTCGACATAACAGAGTCCAGAGCAGGGTGGGGTGTGCTTGTGAGGTGGCAGAGAGATAGAGGAACGAAAGGACGGCGAGACAAAGCTGTTTTCGTCATTAATGCCATCAAAGGGACTTCCAGTGGCAGTATTATGGTACAGAGAGTTCATTGAGGCGACTTCCCACCTTGTGTGTGTTTCATTGTGCTGTTTATCAGAGTAGCCACATGGCGTGTCAGTGCTAACCTGGTGACCGCTCAACAAAAGGCCAAATTAAGAGGAGTGAGAGGGTGTCGTACAGGGAGGCTGACAGGTTGACTGACACCGTTCCCTAGGAGAATAGCATCCTGTCAATCTTGGAGCTGTCACCTTGACAGGAATCCTTTCTTTGGATGCAACCCCCATTGCCAACCTTTCTGTCACTCAAGGCCACACAGACTCACGCATGCACACACACCTTTTCCGTTTTCAGCATTCTGCGCAGGGATCAAATAAGCCACCTATAGTAACA